TTTAATCACCAGACTCCCTCAAACATTTCTTTCCAAGTGAGAAAGGTCTTTTTCACTCTGAAATAGCCTGAAAGTACCAGTCACAACTTGGCCCCTAGGGAGATTTGGGGAAAGATTGCTCCATCCCAAGAGGCCAAAGTTCCTTCCAGCCGTCTGGAGGTTTAACAGACAATACCCAGAACACAGAGCTAGCAAGACACACGAAGAATCTCTGCTTCTTGGAAGTGACCCCCTCCTCCCCTGCACTGCTCAGCAAACCGCACAGAACAGATACTGTGTGCTCTGGTTTAAGTGAATTAATTCACCAAAGACTCTGCAGCCTCATCTACAGTTGTATTGTAAAAGGTTTATAGACGTTGACATTTTGCTACAGGAAGTTAAAATCACACTAAAGAAAAAAAGTTACGGAATGCGTTCAGAATTCCAGTTTAATCCCCTAAGTTAGAACTGCGCGCCACACTCTCAAATAGCACACGAATCAAGTGCAAATAAATTCCTGTATACAGGTGTCCTTCACTTTGGGGTTTTTATTTGAAAAAATCGAATTGATTTTCGTTGGGGAAAGGTAGTCTTTCTGATCTCCATGTTTATTAACAGAACAGAACTCATTGCCATGAGGAAATCTTAATTTATACATTTATCTTTATAATTTTTGGAGAGGGACATTAAAAGTCTTCTCCCTGAGAAATCGAAACTTATTTTCCTAGCAAGGGCCTGTGTTTTACAAAAAACTACACAATTTGCTGAATTTGGACTGATTTTCTTCCAGGAGATAGAAATAGTGTGTTACTTAGACAACTCAACTCCAAACAACATCTAGAAAAATCTAGCATATATGCAAACAACACACAAAACAAACTACATGTTCACAACATCACTTAAAAATCCCTCTTACGAAGTTACTTCAAAAAGGAAACAAATACTTTCAAGAAATTAGATCGGTTTAATGCTTTCTAGAATTGACCAGTGCAGTTGAAACTCCAGTAGAAAATGTATTAACCCTTCTTGAAATTAAAATGTGATGCTTCTCACTTGCTCAAACATTCTGAAAACCTTTCTGACATCTCGACTAAAAACCAAACCCACATATACACAACTAGTACCACCACCAACAAATGAACAAAAACTCATTTTGCGTTGCTGCTAATGAGAAAACGTTTTCCTTCTCATTTTCCTTATTTATGATATCATTAAAGTGAAATTTCTAGGACACCTATTTAAAAAAAGATAAAAATTTTACCAGAAGTTGTGATCTTAGTTTGGGCTAGGTGAGTTATTACAGGATGGTGTTTTCCTTATCATGCTTTAATAAAAAATTATTTTTGACGGTGGTACTACATTTAGATTAGAAAGCCATGTTTTGTGACTGTAATGATTGAATGGCTACTAAGTAACATGACAAGCAATGCATATATAACTAAAGCTATTATTTGCCCATATTTATATGTGCATTAATTAAGCAAATTTTGTGTAGAGAATAGCACCAGGGTGCTTCACAGTTTTCAAAGAATTATCACATGTTCACTCAATAATGCACTTTAAAAAAGATAGCACATTCTGTTTTTTAAAGAAAAAAAGGAACAATTTATTATTTGTGTAGTTAAATAGCATTTTCTCTACGCGCGGAATTTCCCACCATTTAACCAGGATCTTTAACCAAATATCCGATTGGAGGTTGTATAAATCTTTCTTTTTTTTTCTGGTTGTATAAATCTATGATGTGAGGAAAACATACCAAGACATACACTCGAGATAAACACTCGATCAAAATAAAATCAAACACTTCCATGATGCAGCCATATTTACTTTAATCTGACAGTAATTAGCTAAACTGTCTGGAACGAAAACCTATCATTAGCCGAGCACAGCTCCAGGATTTCAAAGATCGCTTTTTCAGACAAGAGAATGCAAATGCCCAGAACGCCCCACAGTAACTGGATACACTTTGGTACCAGATCGCGCACTCCGATAAGTGACTCCCGCGAAGCGACCGCTGACTTAGATGTACCGCAGTTGATTTGTCCTCCCCGGCAGCTGCGCGGCTGGGGGCACACGCCCGCGGAGGACGCAGCCTGCGCGCGCGGAGAGCGGGGCCGGCTACAGAGGACGGGCCTGGCTGGGATCCACTCTGCACCGCTAACCCGGCAAAGACGAGTCTAAAGGGAACCTGAAAAATCAAGCTGGAGAAGACCCGAACCAAGCTTAGGAAAAAACAAAAACAAAACTGATAGAAGTCTCCCGTGTGCAGGATCAGCTCGGCTCCAGAAAACAAAAAGCAGGGCATGGCACAGAAGCTACAGTCTGGGGCCCTTCGCCAGGACTCCCCACTTTCGGAGACCTCACAGGCCGCGAGCCCTGCCTGAACAGCGATGGAACCGTGAGGATTGCATTCCCCAAAGGCCTTCGGAGGAGCAACCGGGTCAGGGTCCTTTAACATGGAAATACTCAGGTCTGACCCGAAGGTAGCTGGACGCCCCGGGAGTGAAGGGCACTGGGGCAGACCTGAGCGCGGGGGTCTGCAGGTGGGAAGATGGTCTTCTGCATGTGCAGAGACAGCGTCCGGGTGGGCTCCGGCTGCCGCAGCGAGTGTATGAGCGTGCCACTGCGTTCAGGGTAGGGGCGGCGCTTGGTCCTGGTCGGGTTCTAAGGCCCGGGTTCTTTGGACTAGCTTTAGGTAAGGCCTAGGAGCGGAGCGCTGTTGAGAAGCAAGGGCTGCAGCGAGGAGAAAGGCAGCTTCGGTTGAAAACTAGAAAAAGAAAGAAGGTTAGCTTCTGGTAGCTTTAGTCATTTTTCTTTTGTCCAAATCTTGAAGTCACCTAAGAGGCAAAGAAAACTGTGCTCCGGAGGAAGCAGAAACCTTTCCCTAGACAGGTTTGCCCTGGGGTGGGGGTAGGGGATTGGGACCCGAGCGGAGCTTCCTGCTGGTGGGAGGTGACGCGCACACACGCAAGGTCCCCCCTCTCTGCCGGGCCGCGCACTCACCCCCACCTCTGTCTGGATCTTTGCGCCCCAGCCTCGGGGTCCGCAGCAAAACGAGGCCGCATTCTTCCCTCTGCAGACTCCGGCCTGATTTGGAAACACCAGCCTCCGCCTGGGGCATCAATAGTTTCAGGATTTAAAGCAGAAAGGCATTGGGTGCCCCTGGGGCTGAGGGACGGTCGTCCCGGAGCAAGGCCCTGACCACAGACGTCTTTTCCCACCGCCAGCAGGTCACAGCTACCCTAAGGGTTGTCTCCGCGACGCACGTGGCCCGCAAGGAGTCCCAGCTCCCCGGGAGGCCCCAAGGGCTGCCTCCCCGCAACATTTCCGCTCTCTCCTGAAGAGCCCCGCCTTCCCCTCCCAGCAGGCTGTTCTTTCACTCCTGGGCCTTGGGCACCAAGGCTTCTGGCCAACCGCAGGGTCTCGCAAGGCAGCTCTTTACTTTTGTTTCCACTCTCTACTAGACTCTGCCTTTTCAACCAGTGCGCTGTCCACAGTCCACACAACTTCCTCCTGCCCCTTCCTGCTGATACTGGTTTCTTACAATTTTGCCGTCTCAGGAGCATAAGAAAAGGATGTTTGAGGCAGCCCGATGAGGGTTACCATGGTCAGATCAGAGCCTTCACTATATTTTTCAAGGCCAGAGCAACCCAAGGTCTCACAGCAGGGCCTGCTGCTACCCACTGGGCTATCTTGGGAGCAAGTGAATTCCTACCGGGCAGGAAGAAGATGATTCCCAATGGGCATAGTTTCCAGAATCTTTGAGAATCCCACAGATTACCTCAGAAGGCAAACAGGGTGTCATGAAAACAGCAGCTGTGTGAGTAGATTAATTAGAAGGTGTGTAAAGAGTCAAGGCCCAGACTCAAGTTCCAGACTTAAATAGGCAGAAAAGATAACAGCTATGACTGGCCACCTTCCTTTTGAGAACAGATCAAAAACGCTGTGCACAGCACTCCAGCTACATTACAAGAACGGCCGGCCATAGCCTGCCATGTACTGAGCTCCTGACATGTTTTGGCTTATTTAACCAAAGCAATAACCCCAAAGAGGTGGGGTTTTTTTTGTTTTTGTTTTTGGCGGAACCGGGGATTGAACTCGGATTCTTGCGTTTGCCAGTCAGGCGCTTATCCTACTGAGCCATCTCCCCGCCCCCCCCAAAGAGTTTTGCTGTCTCCTTTCCATAGGAAACTAAAACGTAAGAAATGCCCAAGGCTTAGGCCAGGGTTCCAAACACGAGCAGTAGAACAGCAAAGCATAGTAAGCACTCCATCATCCTGTCTTTCACATACCTGCTCTGTGCAGCGTCTGCAAAGACAAACGCAACCTGGACCCTGGCCTCGAGGGCTCACAATCTAACGGGGCAATCAGAAAGGCACACGCTGCTATCGAACTAAGTGGGACATGATACATGATGGGATTAGGACTAGTCCTTCGATAGGACTAGCTGCAAGTCACAAGCGGGAAAGAGGACTTCTGACTAGGCGATCAGGTAGCACTTCCTTGGAAGAGGTGATATTGGAGGAGAGCCTTGGAGAACAGCTTGCTGTGCTTGGAGACCAGACAAAGACGGGGAAGACATTCCAGGAGGAGTGAGCAGCTCGAGCAAAGGCAACAAGGCGGAAACGGACACGTCGCTCATCCATAGATAATACACGCGGTCTCCTTGTGGATACAGCGCCAGGTATTGACAGGCAAGGACGTTTTCCTGCCCCCGCAGGGAAAACGTTCCCGGACTTTGGTGCATGGACAGTGAACCTCTCTGAACTGGCCCAGGTCGGCAGAGGCAGCTAAGCAGAACAGAATATTGATAATTCGCACACCCGGTCAGTGCAGCCTGCACTGCAGCTACTCCACTACCAAACCCTAGTCTATTTCTGGTAGCTGCGCAACATCCTACCCGTTGGACGCTGGAGGCGTGGCCCACAAGAGTCAGAGCCAATGAAGAAGGAGGCCAGGGTGCGGTCCCGCCCCCGCCGTGACGCAAGGGCCCGGGACAGAGGCTTTGCGGCCGGGGCCCCAGTCCCTGCAGTGGCTGTAACAAAACCCAGACCCCCAAGTCCTGGCCAATGGAGGCGATTTAGACTGGAGTAGGACCGCGTCTGTCAAAAGCCCGACTCCGCAGCAGCGGCAGAGTCCAGGAGCAGAGCTGGAGCAGCCGCGCTACCTCCCCGCCCCCGCCGGGATTTATTGAGTATTTGGACTGGACAATTAAGTGGCCCCGATGATGTTACCAAGCCCGGTCACCTCCACCCCTTTCTCAGTCAAAGACATTCTGAATCTGGAACAGCAGCAGCACTTCCACAGCGCTCACTTACAGGCGGACTTGGAGCACCATTTCCACTCGGCGCCTTGTATGCTGGCCGCAACTGAGGGGACACAGTTTTCTGACGGAGGGGAGGAGGACGAGGAAGAAGAGGGCGAGAAACTGTCCTATTTGAACTCACTAGCCACAGCCGATGGCCACGGAGATTCAGGCCTCTGTCCCCAGAGCTATGTCCACACGGTCCTGCGAGACTCGTGCAGCGGGCCCAAAGAGCATGAAGAGGAGATCGTGAGGGACCCGAGCCAAAGTGAGTAAAAGGGGGGAAGGAAACACACCATACACCTGGAACGTGGGAGCGGCACCCATAAACACCCCCACAAACTTGGCCAGAATGGGCTACCCTCCCCTTTAACCTTTGGCTGGGGTCTTGCCTCTGCCCTGTGAAGTTGGGGCAAGGAAAAAGACAGGGTGATTCTGACAACTAGTTTTCCCAGAGCAGGGACAAGTTGCAGCCTCTCGAAAAGGAAAGTCGCTGCCTTGGTTCTGATTAAGTGGCATGAGCTCAGCTATGGGGTTCTAACATCTCCTTGCTTCCCCTCATCACAAAAAAAGGTGCTGTTCCCCCCAAATGGGCAGGAGCTCTACTGTATTTTCACTTTTCCTTCAACGTGAAATAGCTTCTCTGAGGTCGCGGTAGCCAACCCTCTTCTTCAAAAAGGCAGCTAAAGCAGGTTATGTCTCCAGAGTCCGCATCCTCAGGATGCAGGGACTTTGGTAGAGAAGGGTGTGGCGGTGTGACTTACTTCTTTGCTTAAGTTCAGGGCACTGGGCAGAGGGATTGGTCGCAGAGTGCGTGGGAACTGTCTATTCCGTGTGATCACAACGCTCACACGCCTGAAGCGCTGGCCTTTTTTGAAAATTCATAAACGTTTTGCTTTGTGTCTGGTGCTGCAGGCCTAACTGAGAACCTGCCCCACTTAGTGAGCTAACTTGGCCGCCCACATTGGACGGGGAGGCGAATTAGGAAGTGTGATCGGATAACTTAATAAAGCCCCAAGGAATTCTTTCTGAGGGGATTAATCACAGAATTCCATCCCCCAAGAGAAGGTGTGATATGCCAGGGGCCAAGGCACATCATGCTCTCACACTTACCTCTTCTGCCCTAAAATTCACATAAAATTGTCTAAAACTAGTCGAGCATTCTCTGAGGTAGGGGGAAGGAAACGCACCGTACACCTGGAATTCACAAACACCGCCACGCACACATTTACATGCCGTCTTCTATAAGCAAAAGATATTATTTCTTCGGCAATGCACAGGGATACAACTAGACGTTTCCGAACAGAAAGACTTTTGTGGAACCCATGGACACTGGTGGCCCTATCAGCACATCTCACACCTTCAGCTACTCACGGTGGAATGGAAGGCAGATGAGCTTGCAAATACTGCAGTTATGCAGTTGCAAACCTTCATCCTGAAAATAGTCATTAACACATTTAATACAAGGGAATCTCTTCTCTGGAAGAGGATGCTCAGATTTTAATAAACGCAAGCTCACTACTCCCTGCGGAGTGTGTCTCTGCCCGCTGAGGGCGTTATTTAACTATTCAGGCTGGGGCAGGGGCCAGCGGCATTAGGAGCCACAAACTTTCCAAAAACTCCAGCCATTTACTACCGCATGTTCCGCACTTTCACCATAAAAAGGGGCGACGCCGGGATGTGCTAACAGCCGCTGTTTTGCTTCTTCCGCAGAAAGCTGCCCGCTGAAGAAGCCTCTAGAGCCAGCTGGCGATGGGAAGGCGGCGGAGGACGGCGAGAGGCCCAAGCCGCGCAGCCGCAGGAAGCCCCGGGTCCTCTTCTCGCAAGCCCAGGTCTTCGAGCTGGAGCGCAGGTTCAAGCAGCAGCGGTACCTGTCGGCGCCCGAGCGCGAGCACCTCGCCAGCAGCCTGAAACTCACGTCAACGCAAGTGAAAATCTGGTTCCAGAACCGCCGGTACAAGTGCAAGAGACAGCGGCAGGACAAATCGCTAGAGCTGGGCGCGCACGCCCCGCCGCCGCCGCCGCGCCGCGTGGCAGTCCCGGTGCTCGTGCGGGACGGCAAACCGTGCGTGGCGCCCGGCGCGCAGGCCTACGGCGCGCCCTACGGTGTTAGCACCGGCGCCTACTCCTACAATAGCTTCCCGGCCTACGGCTACGGGAACTCTGCCGCCGCCGCCGCGGCCGCCGCCGCTGCCGCCGCCGCCGCGGCCTACAGCGGAAGCTACGGCTGTGCGTACCCCCCAGGCGGCGGCGGGGGGTCTTCCGCGGCGGCCTCTGCCATGCAGCCCGCCTGCAGCGCTTCGGGAGCCGGGTCCTTTGTGAACGTGAGCAACCTGGGAAGCTTTGGAGGCGGCGGCAGCGCGCAGCCCTTGCATCAGGGAGCAGCCGCCGGGGCCGCTTGTGCGCAGGGCACCTTGCAGGGCATCCGGGCCTGGTAGGGACAGCTTGGCGCCGCGGGGGTGCAGCTCGAGAAAGGCCAGAGCCAAGGGCCTGGTCCCCTCGTTAAAAAAAAAATACATGTCATGCTCCCCAGAGCTTCGGATCGCATATCACTCAAGGCCGGGAAGGGGGCTCAGAGGCGAAGGGCATGCCCAGGTCTGGTTGCCAAGATTGACTATCGAGTCGGAAACGCTGGCCAGGCGCCTGGGAGGATGGTGGCCCCAGCCCGGGGGGGCCACAGTGGAGGGCAGGAGACTGGAACTCGGGCTGCCGCTTGTTTTCCGAGGTGACAAGATTTCTTGCCCTCGGCCTTCCCGTGGCCTCCGCAAAGCGTTGGCGGGGAAACCGGACCAAAAATTAAAAGGGAAAAAAAAAAGAGAAAGAAGAAATAAAGGCACGAAGAAGAGAATAGGGATCTCGGTTAGAAATCCCAGGCTCTCCACGGATCCTCTGACCCCTTTGCGGGCCGGAGAGCCACATCACAGTTGATTTTCATTTTCCACCCGCCTCCCCTCGCAGGAAAGACTTCAGCCCAGATTTCTACTTGTCAAGGAAGGACTCCGCAAAGACCAGCCCAGTGAAATTCGGTGGGGGTACAGGGGAGGCTTCGCTGAGCTAAACCAAGACCTGGTGGCCCACCAGAGGTGTTACCAGGTTTCCTTTCTGTTTCGTATTCTGTACTGAGCACATATTATCTATCTATATATAACTATATTCACACGCCGTGTACACACCCGCTGCCATACACTACAGGAGTCAATAAACAAGGTGCAATATTTCCAAACTACTGGCTGCATAGACTGTTTAGCCCAAAAGAACAGGGAAGGTTCCCTTAAACTGAGCAGGAAAGGAAGGAAAAGCTGCACAAGGGGAAACAGTCTTCCCTGGGAGAGCACAGGCCTGGTCTTTCCTGAGCCAGGCCCCCGGCTACAAGTCTGTTCTTTCTTGGCTTTGTTCATTAATTTCTCTTTACTGTTGTTGGGAGGACAGGCCGCAGACTCCGGGCCTTTTGAGATCCCGGGCTTTGTAATGCCCTCAAATTTTGCTCAGATGTTTAAATTAGCTGTCCGAACCTTCCGAGGTCAAGGCCTAAACTGCCCCACCTCGAGGGTCTCGAGGGAAGAGGGAACCAGAGGGAACTCGGTCTCCACGCTCAGCGTTAGCGGAACGAAGAGGGCGTTTTCCTCCTCCGCTGCCGCCGCGGCTTCCAGCGCTCCCGGGGGCGCTGCGGTGCGCCCCGCCGCGGACGAACTCTCCCCCTCGGCCGCCCTCCCTTCTCCCCCGGCGGCCACCGCTTTATGCAGTTCCTTGTCACTTGTGGAGAATGCCTGTGCGAGGCCTGTGCTGCCACACGGCCGATTGTGAGCGTGCCAAGGCGGGTGAATGGGGAGGCCTCAGAGCGCCGCACCATTGTGGGGCCGGGCCTCGCTGAAAGGCGGCTCCGGGCCGAGAAGGTGCGGAAAGAATGGCTTTTTATTGGAGTCCCGAACAAAAGGTGTGGTAGGAAGGCGAGGTCCCCTGCGCGAACAAAAACCCTAGCGCGTCGGATTGACGTCCCCCCCGAGCTCCCCATTGCTTCTCAGAGCGGGGGCTTTGTGCAGCAGTCTGCTCAACAGAGGGACGGAGAAATGCTCGGGGGTTTTGTTCCCCATTTTTTATGCGCTGGGGGAAGGGGCAGCAGGAGGGACGGGGGCTGGGCGGGCGGCAGGGAGGGGCGCGCTGATTAGGCCGGGCGGGCCGGGGCGCGGAGACTTTCAGCGGGAGTCGACGGCCTGAATGCAGGGTCATTATTGCTACAAGTTTAGCAATTTCGCCCCTAAAGAAGGGGGTGGGGGCTGCTAGGCTGCTACTGGGCCGCCTGGCTAGGGAGCTGGAAAGACTGAGGGCCAGAAAAAAAGGAGAGAAGACAAGGAGGAAGGTAGAGAAGCAGGAAAGGGAGCCCTGCGAAACCCTTTGGCCGCCCTGGATGCGACTTGAACTAACCGCAAAGAGCCGAGCGGGAGACTGGAGAAGCCAAGCCTGGGGAGGGGGTCGGGGGAGTGAAGAGCTTTCCTCCTAGTCTTTCTCGGCCAGTTAGTGCCCCAGACCGCGGTCCTTCGGCTCCTCTCTGCCAGTTTCCTCCTGCCCTGAAGCTGGGATGCCTCCCACCGCCGAATCGCCACAGGACCCCCACCGCCACCCAACCCCATTTCCTTCCTACCAAGTTCCCTCCCCTGAGGTCATCTTCCCTTGGGTTGCACTGCCTAAGAGCTAGGGAGGGAATTTTCTCTTTTTTAAAAAAAAACTGGCTCTTCACTGCTTGCATCTGCATAAGATCCATTCATTCATAACTATATATTGTGAGCACATATTATATGCTGGCATTTCATCCCTCTGGGTCAGATATCACTGTCCAGGGATAGGAGTATCATGGGGTAGGACAGCATTGAGATGCCCCCTAAGCTTCTTCGTCTACCCTTCTCCTCGTGCCCCAGAGCCCAGCACATGGCTAGTGCTGTTGAACAGTGCCTCGAACACTGGCTGTGAGGGAGAGCTGAGTAGAACACAGCTGGACCTAGGCAGGACATCTGACAGTCCACTGCAACCCCACAGCTAGGTCCTGTCTTCTATTCCCCCAAGATGCCATCTGGGGTCATAACTTTCTCCCACCCCCAAGAGATGTGGCACTACAGATCAGAATCTCGGAGGCTGAGCAAGGACTTGGTAAAGACCTTGACACCAGGACACAAAGTTTAGGGGTTGGGGAGATCTTTGAGATAAGGTAAGCAGCAGGATCTCCCAGGAAATCAGGCTTCTCTTCACTCACTAGGTGCTGAGAGTGGTTGGCAAGCAAGACCCAGCTGGCTCAGTCTCAAGGCAGGATTTCAATGTGTGGGCTGCCAGAGTAGAAGGCTCTGAGAGCAGCTGTCCTCTTGCCTGGGGAGTTTCCCACATAAGCAACTACTTTTCCTCCAACCCAGTTCTGCATCCTACTAGAAAGGTGGCCTCTCTCGTGCTTCCTGAAACTGATCTTCACCTTCCCTGCACAGCTCCCTCCTGATCTGTGTTAGTCTTCCTTCATTCTGCATCCTCTCCTGTTCTAAAAAGGTGTGTGACCCTCATAGATGAAACACAGCTGGCTCATAGACTGGCTGCCAAGTGGTTTGCGTGTCTTAGGATACTTAAAACTAGCCCGGAGCAGCCCTCTCCCCACTCTGTCCTGATTCAGAGCCTGTAGACTCCGGGTATAAATATAAATAGCTCCCATTGCTTTATTGAAGGATTTCCGTACTGGTCATTGCTGGGGCCTCAGCAACAGGAACATCAGGGAATGAAACCTTTGACCAACACAGTTACATCTTTGGATTCTCTCCCTAGGGAAAAATACTCCCCTCCCAGGCCTGTTCCTTCATAAAATTGTCCTGTGAACCAGGCGGAATCATACAATTTAGGCTAGTGTTCTAACAACCTTGGAGACTTTGAAGAAGTCCTGAAAGTGGTCTTTCTGGCTTCTTCTTTCTGAGTTCTAAGGCAAAGAATGGTGGGGTCCGTGATTGTTGGGGTCACTCCTGTATCAAACCCTCTCTGAGTTCCAGAGTGGCTGTATAATCACCCCCTTCTCCCCAGTGACTTGTGCAGCATCGGCTCAGAGGTGAGCAGACACTAGAGGTGGAATAAGTTCTAAAAGACCAACACCCCCCAGTCTGATCTATTTTAGGAAGATAACTTTTGATGTAGACTGCCTCCTTTCTAATCTCAGTGCCACCACCACAAGCAGTATTGACGTGGAAGAACTCTGGACCTCAGTTTCCTCCTCTATAAAATGGGTATACTTATGTAGTGTTTCATTCTCATTTTTTAATCTACAATAAAATGCATAAGTTTACGTATACAAGGCCATATATATGCATCACCCATATACCAATCACCTTGGCTTTGAAAATTAAATGAGATGCTCCATATAAAAGTAGCTTATCACAGGTCTGCTACTAGTCAGACACTGCATCAACCAGGTTAGCATAGGATATGGGTACTTTATGACCAGGTCTGCGGTGTGGCGGATGGATCCTGAGGATTCTGAACTCCGGTATCGCGTACCACGTGCGTGGCAGGTTTTCGACAGTGCGGTTGCTAGTAAGCCGGATAGGCGGCACCGGGTGGGGCCTGCAGGGCTGAGAACATTTAGAGAGGCTTTGACCTTGCCTACTCCCCCTGGGAATAAGACTGAAGGGAAAAGGTTCGAGTTGGGGTCACAAATCTCCTCTAGTCCATCGCTGTCAGGAGGAAAGGGCTCCGGAAGAGAAACTCAGTGGGCACCCATGGGTGACCGGGCCGCACATCTATGCTGGGTTGGGGCAGGATGGGCCCACGCTTCCCAGTAGAAAGGCGCCCGTGGAGGCGGAGAGGATGGAGGATCTCCCCCTCCTGCTCGGCTTTCTGGTTTAGGGCCCTGGAGAGGACTTCTTACCTTCTGGTCTGGACTTAGGGGCCAGAACCCTGGTAGAATCGCGACCGTCTGTGACTGGACAGTTCAATGACAGACCAGAATCCAGCTACGAGCCGTGGGAACGTGGAAACGGACCCTCTGAGCCGCCAGGGCAGCGCAGGTGCCGGGCCGGGACTGCCTCCCAGGGAGGCCCGGGGAGCCTGGCCAGCTGTCTGGGCGAACTTCCAACTAGAAGAACCACCGAGTATCGAACCTGGAGGTGGAGCCGGATCCAGGGAGGAGGAAAGTCCCGGGTGCGCTTTGGTGGGTGCGCTTTGGTGGGTGCGCTTTGGTGGGTGCGCTTTGGTGGGTGCGTTGTGAGGCTTCCGCAGGCCCTGGCAGAGGGGGGCTTACTTTTAACCTGCCTGGGCTGTAGGTAATGGATTGATAACAGCAACGTTTTCTGCAGGAGTATTTAGAATACTCATGTGATACACACAGAAAAGCCAAATTGGGCCGCTCGCTCCATCTTCTTTAACGGACGTCCAGGTGAATAACTCTGCTAAAAACCTCCACCAGCACTCCTCCCTCACCCCAC